CAGCAATTTTAGCTGTCATTGCCGCCGTAAAAGTGTTGTAGTAGTGCCACCTTGTGGGTGAACGGTGAAAGTGTCTCTAATTTAATGCAGCAATGTGGAGCCGCATTGTAGTACAGTATTGTGTTTTAAGAAAAGTTTGTTTTAAAAGATTGCCACCCGTCTATTCCTTCGCCAAAACACATCAGTTTTTATTAAAAGTGTTTTTCTCACATTTGTTATACTTAAGTCCCACCTTTTAAAACTCTTTGTTCGCAATGTATGTTCTGTTTTTTCAGATCTTTATGTCCCGAGCATCTTTATAGATTTTAGCGGTGTTGCATCTTTAATTTCATACTCGGGTCCAGCAACATCAAATCCTACGTATCTGGACAGGATTCGTACGTACTCGGAGAACTGTACTGGACCGCGTATAAAAACAGGACAATTATCTTACAATGTTGCACTTTTGTACAGATCGTGTTTATTGAAAAGCGTTTCGTGACTCTTGGGAGCCTTTGTGTAATTGCAGGGTGGTGCTAGTAGCCAAAACTAGTTAATTCAGCACATTATTAGCAGTAACTCGAGGATACTCTGCTGTGCGGACAAGCTCCAAGAATATGATAGACATCAACTGGAGTCGTACTATCTCAAGATTATTTTTCCGCTTTCAAAGGCCCTGCCAGTTGCTACAATACGTAAAACGTGTGAGGGTGTGTCGCACTTTCTCCATTTAGTTCCTGCCGCCATGTTGCGCAGCGGGAAGCCAGCATAGGCGGTTGCGGGGATTGGCGCTGCTCTGCACCCTTGGCAAAGCGTTAATTTTTAGAATTCATCAGTCTCTGGGACACCAAAGTGCTACCAGATAGTTCTGGAAGTCAAAGGGAAATAGTAACAGTTGATGTGTTTGTGGCACTAATAATTCTGGCAGCAAACGTTATCAGAGTCTACTATGTCTTTAAAAAAAATCTAGGTACAACTCCCCCCCCTCGTACGTGGTCTCTCTTACAGTATATAGGTCACCGGGTACCGGTTAGAGCCAATCTGTCTCGGCGGTAAATGTTACAAAATAATTTGTTAGACTCGCGTGTCTTGTTTCTAAGACTGGACAGCAGTATGTTTATTTTGTGGTCAGAAAACGGACCTTATTTTCCGCAGCTACTCCACTAGCCGGGATTTCGGTTGGGACGTTTTCATTCCAACTAATATTTTTCCTTGCACAGCGTCCCACAGATGGTGTTGCATAACACACAGGTTAAATGGATCGTTATGGTTTGAGCACAGACGGGTGGAAGAAAACCTCATTGCAGTTGCTCTTGACAACAGTAGATGGCGAAAGTACCCTGGGAGGCTGATAGGTGACTAAGGGCCTGGTGGAAATTCTAACATACCTTTCATTTCTGTTGAGTT